TACATGAGACTCTAAATGTGCAGTAGATTAATTCTACTGCGCATTAGCGTGACAGGCAAAAACCATGCTAATGCACTAATAAGCAGTAGAATTAGTCTACTGTGCATTAGCATCACAAAAAAAAAAGCATTAGCTGGTGCTACTGTGCAGGAGCACCAATTTACGGTGCGGGATAGGGGGAAGGGGAGGGAGGGGGTTCGTGATGCTGAGAGAGAAAGGAGATAGATAAACACAAACCCGTTACAATGGTCCGCAATGGTGGAGGAAGTGGTTCGGAGGAAGTGCCTCAGTCCATATAGAGTCTCAGAGCGGGGGTCCTCTTTGGTTGGAGTGGGGTCGTCCATGGTTGAAGAATCCTCTCGGAGTGAAGTGAAGGTCCATCTGGAGCGGGGGGCAGCGGTTGACTACATTAGGGTCAACTTCCTCCCAACAGCAGATTCAGGTGGGCAACGGTGGATGGACCAGCTACTGGGAGGGCTGAGATTGGAGATGGATCAAGGTCCAGAGCCCAGCTTGTGGATTTTTGCCATGATGTTACAACCTCCTGTTTCATGCATTTCCTGCCCATGTGACTAGGAAGAAAAAGTTGAGCACATGACCTGACTTTAACGGATGCAGCAGCATTTTCTGTGAGAAGGGGACCAGTAGCCACTAGAAGCGATAATTTGGCACCCTGATGGCCATTAAAGTAGGCCAATCCCCTCCTCTGGGACCTTGAATGGATGATGGAGGTAGCAGCACCCTGGTGCTGGAGAGGACAGGGCAGAGGGAAAGTCCTAGCACGTGTCCCATCCCTACTGGTCCATCTTTCCCTAGAATAGTGATCCTGGCCAAGGGTTCCTATAAAGGGAGAAGCCTTATACTCAGGACTGCTCTGGCTCTTGCTGTGACATCAAGGGTTCAGTTTAATCACACCCTGCTTCACAGGTCCTGGATTTTTTTTTCCTGCAGAGCTGGAGGATACTCTGGATAGGAAGCAGAGGCTCCTGGAAGCCCTAAGGAGGAATCCAAACCTACTAAAGCAGTTTCGCCCCATTCTGGAGGACATGCTGGAGGAGAAGCTTGAGAACATGGGTGTGAGGAGGGTAAGCTACTGCAGACAGACAGGCTCTGGGCAGGAGGAGGGTCATCTCCCCATGTGCAGTGCAACCTCTTCTGACTTCGGCTCTTCCAGGGTTTTAAATGTAGATCCAAAAGGAATCAAAACTCATGCAAGAGGTGGTATCTTCTGTTAAAACAACTAGATATTTGCAAACAAATGATTTTATTTATTTGCACGCTTTCAGGCACATTCCCGCTTCATCAGGCATAGGAGAGAGCAGAGACCGTAAAAGTTCTCCTAGGTAGAAATGAAAATTCACATTTCACAGGAGAGCTGAAGGTGTGGTAATAGCTCCTGTTTGGAATAATTCATTTTGGCCAGGTTAAGCAAAGAGAAAGTTTGAAAAAGCCTCTTTACCTCGAAGTTGTCTGGTGACAAGCAGGATGCATATTTCTATATAGTTATAGAGACAGGCACCACTGGTGTGTGCAGGAGAGAGGGACAAGGCAGGGCATGGAGAGAAATAGCACTTTGAACTGTATTTGAGTGGCTGTAGCACCCAGTGTCCCCAGGGTATCCCAATGCCCCAGGAGCGGTACAGACATTCCCTGTTTGGAAAAGCTTATGCTCTAAGTAGACAAAGGGAGGGAGGGCAAGAAATTCACAGAGTGGCAAATGAAGACACCCACCACTACACAGAAGGGCAAGGAACAGGTCTCCTGCCTCTGTTCTCAAGCCTAATCCACCATTGCCTCTGCACTGAGCACAGGGGTATAGGGTGTAACCGTGTTGGTCTAAGGACATAGGCAGATGAGGTTCTTTGGGTAGATCCTATCTTTTATTAGACCAGCTAAAATAGTTGGAAAAATTCTTTGCAAGCTTTTGGGTACAAACACCCTTCATCAGGCCGAGGAAAAGGCTGCACTGAGCACACATTACTGCCTTTCTAGCAACAGCCCCTTTCAGTGCAGCCATTCATATCCCAACTATTCTAGCCCCTCCAACTATGGGTTTGGGTTTTGTTTGTTTGTTTGTTTGTTTTGTGTTTTGTTTTGTTTTTTTTTAACTAGGAGTCTTTATTCAAGGGCATGGCTTGGGGAAGGAGGGTGGGACCAAGCAGCCAGTCTCGCTGGCCCAAGGGAAATCAGGGAAGTTCTTGCTGTCCAAGTCCTTTTCATGTGGAGCTAATTGGACACCATTCTCTCTGACTCTCCCTGGGTTCTGGGGGATGCATGTTCACAGCATAACTGCGGCTGTCTTGTCAGGGCAGTGCAAAGACAATGAACACACAGGCAGCCTCGGGGGCTGGGTCTTCACTGGAGACCTTGCCACTGGCGCTTCCTCAAGTCTGAGCAAGCCGTGCATCCAGACCAGACAGCCTTTGTGTTCTGCCCTTTGATTCATTTCCCCCGCTGGGATCCTTGTGATACAAAAGAAAAGCCTTTAATAAAATACAATTGCATTCCATTTCTGTGTCCATCCCGAAAGCTCCAGGGGATAAGGAGGTTGCAACTCATAAGGGAGGCCAGGAAAAAGCAAAAACAACTGAGTCCTGACCTTGCAGACTCCCAGGCTGGCCTGGAACAGGGGCCGAGAACAACCCTATTCAGCTTCAGGTCCTCCAGGGCTAGCAAGTGTCTTGTGTGCAAGTGACTGAACAGATAGGAAGGCCAGTTCTCTAGGCTGCCACTGAAAGAGGGAAGGAGTCCCGTGGGATTACACTGAGAAGGCCATTGCATCTCTACAATGCAGCTGCTAAAACAGCTCTTGCTGCCCACACACACTTCAGAGGTGAGGAAGGTCATGTTGGGGATGGCATATTGCTTTACCTGGCACAGGGTAGGTATAATCTACATACAGCTTAAATTCCAGGGCACGGGTATGTGCCTCCATGGGGTAGCAGAAGTGTTCCAGAAGTCGCAATATCGACCACAGTCCTTAGTGTAGACAGAACTTAGAGAAAAATTTAATTGAAGATGGCCTGTGCTTCTGGCTCGTGCACTCTTCTCTCCTGCAATACTGCAAAGCAGGAGCCTTCAGGGCAACAGTCTGCACATAAATAACACCTAGCCAGTGAATTTCTAAGGGGAGTAGGGGAAAAGGGTACTTATTTGCATGAGAATCTGGTGCCTTTAGAACTGAAGGGTTGCTCACACTCAGCTGTGCAGGCAGCTGCGGAGAAATCTTCCTCAACACATCTCAGTTGACTGCAAGCTTCTTGGAACAAGCATGGGTTACACCTGCTGCAGCAGACCCTCTGCTTGGCAAACCCAAAACTAGTCCCTGGCCTCTAAGCAGACTTGCCAATGATTCCTACCATGCCAGGACCCTTCTGTTGCAAAGTTGCACAGGACCCCAAATCACATTCAAGGCAGATCCATGAGCGAGCCTACTTATCCTGATCTCTCTTCTCAGGTAGGAATTGGCTCAGATAGCTTGGAATCTGCAGTAGGCACTGGCTGCCCTGTAAATACATACTAGAGCAGAAAAGGGCCAGCATTCAGATGTGGGAGGGCTGAATGCTGGTACCAAGGCATTTGTTTCTTGTATGAGCAGCTCCATGCTCTTGTTAGGAAAATCAGGGATTGAATGCCTGAGCTCAGGGAAGAGGATAGAAAAACTCCTGTTGATTCCAGCAGGCTTGGACCTGGGCCTCTAATGTGGAGGAGGTTGAGCTCTCTTCCAGATATGATGGGAGCTTTGGGGACAGCTCAGCACACCACACAAGGCAGTGCCAGGAGTTTTGTGGGTTTGTCAGGGGAGGTTGCAGTGTTATGCTCTCTGTTTCAGGCTGCAAAGGGGATTCCAGCTCAGACCTATAAAACTCTGAGAGCTCTGGTAAGAACTCAACAGCAACAGAAGGCCAAGAAGTTTCCACATCTCCTCAGCTTGAGGGAGAAGTTAATCCAAGATGTCACCCGGAAAGTCAAGCAGCGGCAGGAGGAGGACGATACTTTGCTGGGGCAAGTCTCTGTATTTTCAGGTAAACGCCAATGTTTCTCTCCTTGGATTCTCATGCTGGGGACAAGAGTTCATTCGCAGCTTGTTATCATTGTCACGGGCATGGTTTCCACTGTCTGTCAAGCAGCCCCAGGGTACACTGAGCAGGATGTTGTGTCCAGCAGAAATTAACCCTTTGCATTTGCTGTGTGCACTGCTCACTTTGACTAGGTTGACTGGGCTTCTCTATTAATGCTCCTTGAAGGGAAAATTCAAGAGAAAACTGCAGAAAAAAAAAAACCCAGCTCCTGGTCCTGAAACTCTCTTCCTTTTACCAGATGCTAGAAAATGCAGAAAGCTGCTTTGTTGCCATCAGCTGGAGTTTCATGGAGCCGCGAAGCAGAGCAGTGATAGAAAGCCATCTAGCAAGTAACAGAAGCTCAGTGCCACTGCAGAAAGAGTGGGGGGAAGAGGGGGGTTCTTCCACAGCTTTCTGCACCTCTAATTCTGCACTCGCTGGGAACCAAAAACCCCTCAGTGTATTTTACTCCAGAGATCAGCAACCTATGACCCACAGGCCAGATCATAGGATCATATAATGTATGATCCTATGATCTGTGAAGTATGGGCTTCATGAGCTCATCTATCCAGCCCCCTGCTCAAAGCAGGAACATCTCTGACTAAACCATCCCAGCCAAGTATGTCTGTCCATCCTGCTCTTGAAAACCTCCAAGGATGGAAATTCCAGTTTCTCTAGATAGCCTGTTCCAGTGCTTGACTACCCTTATACATCAGAAAGTTCCTCCTAATTTCCATCCTAAATTTTCCCCTCTGCAGCTTGAGTCCCTTTCTTCTCATCCTGTCCCCTATGGGCCCTATCTCCACCCTTTCAATTTCCTTTCAGGTATCTGAAGACTATTATCAGTGTCCCCTCTCCCACTCCAAGTCTGCCTTTCCCCAAACTAAATATCCCTAGTTCTTTCAGCTTTCCCTCATGAGTCTTGAGTGCTAGGCCCCTGAGCACTTTTGTTGCTCTAAGCCAGTCTCTTTCCAAACTGGCCATCTCCTGCTTGAAGTGTGGGGCCCCAAACTGGACACAGCTCTCCAAGTGAGATCTCACCGATGCTAAAAACAACAGAAGAATCACTTCCCTTGATAGGCAAATGACACTCCTGTTAATACAACCCAGGATACCATTGGGGTTTTTTGCAACAAAGGCATACTGTTTGCTCATATTCAGCTTATGGTCCACCATAACTGCCAGGTACTTCTCTGCAGCCTAGCCACTCATTCTTTAATCTGTATTTGCGTATACAGTTATTCTGCCCCAAGTGCAGAACTTTGTACTTGTCCTTGTGGAATTTCATTGATTGTGGACCATTTCTCCAGTTTATCCAGGTCATGCTGGATCCCAGCCCTGCTCTCTGACCCAAGATGGGTCATCCCATTCCCCTGCCAGAAAACATTGCCAACCTCTGCCCTAATCTGTTGGCTGAGAATCAGTCATGTACATGGACCTCTTCTTCTTACATGAGGTGGGGGAAGGTGGTTTAGCAATTGATTTACGCCATTGGAAAATTTCCCCTTAGCAGCATTTAGCATACCCTTTCATCTGCTCATTTTGTAAACTTTTTTCTTTTCTTACCATAACCCCATTTCCTAAGCAAGATTAACAGCACAGATATATCAAAAACTAAAACATGCATGCAAGCCAGACAGTTTGGGAATATGTAATGGTTTTCTTTGCTCTCACCATTTTTCATGTCTTTCCAGTTAAAAGCCCAAAGAGTCCTGTGTCACCTCACCAGGTCACATCTTCCAAACCCAGAATGCTACCAGCTGAGTTACAAGCCAATATCTCAGAGACACCCAGTTTAACTCCTCGCAGCAAAGTCACTTACCCCCCCAGCTCAACAGAGACACCCAAAATAACACCACGAAACAGAGCCAGGGGTCCCACCAGCCCCCACCGTGCTACCATCCTACAAGCCAGGTGAATCCCAACATCTATTCCTATCCTTACCACAGACATTTCTCTCATACTTTTTTCCCTTTTCCCTACAACCCCAGAACAGAGCATGGACAACCCTATTCTGTCACTGTTGCTTGTAGAGCAGTGATGCCTAGGATCCCAAGACATGGACCATGGGTCCCATTGTGCCAGGCTCTTCAAAAACACAAAACATTTGTAATGGAAGGAATTTAGCCAGGGGAGCATCTGAAGCACTGCTTAATTTGCCCAGCCTTGAAGAGATGCCGAGGCACCTGGCCACCCCCATTAAACAAATGAAATGACAGAGAATTACTTGTGGATTCTCAGCATCTAATCTGTAGCTTCCTTGTATAAAAAGGTTGGTTTGGGGGCTACTCTTTAAAGCCTCACATCAATTCTGTAGTACATGTGGCATTCAGAAATGAGTGATTTTGGCAATGGCATGACTGGGCTCTGCCTGCCATCCCAGTGCAATGACTTAAGTGAATTTTGTCCTCAGTATCATCAGATGACACTAAGATGTGGGACAAGGTGGACACACTTGAAGGGAGGGAGAGGCTGCAAATAGATTTAGACAGACTACAAAAGTGGGCAGATGAAAATAGGATGGGGTTCAACATAGACAAATGCAGGGTGCTGCACCTTGGGAGAAGGAATCCACAGCATACATACAGGCTGGGGAGTTCCCCTCTTGAAAGCACAGAGGTGGAACAGGATCTTTGAGTCATTATTGACTCCAAGATGAACATGAGCCGCCAATGCCAGACCGCAGCCAGCAAGGCCAGCCATACCTTGTCATGCATCCAAAGGTGCATCTCAAGCTGGTCCAGAGAGGTGATACTCCCCCTCTACGCAATACTGGTCAGGCTGCAGTTGGAGCACTGCATCCAGCACTGGGCGCCGCACTTCAAGAGGGATGTGGCCAGCCTGGAGAGGGTTCAGAGGAGGGCCACCCGCTTGGTGAGAGGGCAGCAGGACAGGCCCTATGAGGAGAGACTGAGGGACCTGAACCTATTCAGCCTTAGCAAGAGGAGGCTGAGGGAGGACCTGGTGGCTGCCTACAAACTCATCAGGGGAGATCAACAGCAAATAGGTAGAGACCTTTTCTCCCCAGCACCACCTGGGGTGACGAGGAACAATGGTAATAAGCTGATGGAGAATAGGTTTAGGTTAGAGATCAGAGGGCAATGTTTTACAGTTCGGGTGGCCAAAATCTGGAACCAACTTCCCAGGGAAGTGGTCCTCGCCCCTACCTTGGGCAAATTCAAGAGGAGTTTGGATAATCACCTGTCTGGGGTCTTGTGAACCCAGCTTTCATTCCTGCCTGTGGCAGGGGGTCAGGCTACATGATCTGTTCAGGTCCCTCCTGACCCTAGCTACTATGAAACTATCAGAGAAGTGCCAGCACCTTCATACTTGCATGTCAGGGAAAAATAATTTCCCCTGCTGCAGGAATGCCTGGTTGAGCATCTCTGTCTCTAAGTCATATAAAAACAGTGATCATGATGCCTCTTCAGATAGATCAGTCTATGACTGTATTATTGTCTTGAAGTATTTTTGATGGAATTTGACCTCTAATTGTTTCCTCTGCACACTGGCAATGGGCTCAAAAATGGGGAGTGTCATGCTTGGTAGTGCTATCATTTTTCCTTGGATGTCTTCCCCCTGACTGAGGGAATAATTCAGGTGGTTTCAGGCTTTTGGAGCACTGGAGAAATAAATAGAGAAGTGCTTGAAAGACAAGCATGGAGAGATCATTCAGCTTAGGCAAAATGAAGATGGGGTGGGGGGAAGGGAAGGTGATAAGAGATGACAGCTGATCTTTAGTACAGAGGATCTTTAGTTGTATTGGGTCTGAGGACACGTAACAACAATGAGCTCATGCTCACTCTAGGATGCAAGAAGTGAGTTGAGGGATTTTTAAGGGAGGCTGGGCAGAGTCCAAGCAGTGGACAAGTTATGTGCATTTTGGACTGGTGGAAAGAGAGGTCACACAGGAAGAACTGGCAGTAGGTAACCCCTCCCTCCCCTTCCTGGCTCGTGGGAAACAAAGTAGGTACTGAAGGTTTTTGGGGACTTTGACAGCCTACCCCTGCACATAATGCTGTGCTGAGCTGCATGAGCAGCTGCTTTAAGCACAGGTGAAATAGAAGAAGACAGTTGGCTCATGTTTCCTCCTTTTCTCCAGGTTGGCATTCAAGTTTCAGAGATTTTTGTACTGAAACTTTCTGTTCTTTCTGTACAACCATCTAGCCAGTGGCTGAGAGTGTTATCAGCTTGTACTTAGAGAGATGGTTTAGGTACCCTTATCACCAGTGGCCCAAGATTTCTATGACCCCACTTCTCAAAGCACTCTTCTCCCCCCTTCTCTGACATTTCCTTCTTTCACTGTCTATCCCTCAGCACCCCACCTTTTAGCTCTGAGGAGGAATCTGTGGGGGACCACTCCAACCTTTCCCCAGTGAAGGTCAGGCATCCCATGAACATGCAGCAAGTGCAGACCCCTTCCAGAATGACACATCATGATGCGAGTGAATCAGACTGGTCTGATATAGAGTCCTCAGAAGAAAAAGCCAGTCCAGTGATGGTTCTTTCAGCTGGAACAACTCCTTCAGGTCAGTCAGTACCAAAATAACCATCATTGGGTGTGTCTACACATGGTTTTTACACATGCCCAAATTTAATGCACATTTGCCTAATGTGCACTAAGGCGATTTAGGCAGGCATCTAACACATGTATGCACCAAGGCATATTAATGCAGTGCACAGACTGACTTGGGACTTAAGTTAGTTCCAGGTCAGTCAACATACACAGCATTAATGCACGTTAGCATATCTACATGTACATTAAGGCACTTTAACTATTCGTGCCTAAATTTGATGCCTGCTTTTGATACCCGCATTAGCCATTTTTAAGGTGTATTAAGGCACACACATGTAGACTTGCACCCTTAATGTGCCTTAGAAATGGCTAACGCACCTTAAATTGGCACATGTAGACATGCCCATCTACTACAAAACTTCTGAACAGTTAAGGCCAAAGTTCTCTACTGTAGTTAATAGTATTAAAAAAAAAAGCAGCTCAAATAGCTCAAATCCAATAGCTTGGGTTGAGAAATGTATTCCACCCACCTTCTCCCTCACCATATGCACCAAAGTCCAGAAACTAGGCATGGTAGCCAGTTTAGCATGACACAGTGTGAGCTAAGCCACTCCCAGGCTCTCTGTCATGGGAAACTTCCTGGGGATTGCTCAGGACTGCGGCAAACTGACTACAGTGCCTGATATCTGGGGTGTGTCACTCCCAGAGTAGGAGGCTGGGGGTAGGACATACTTCTGGTTGGTGCCTTGGGCTCACCTTGGAGGGCAGAATAGAGATACCCAGAGAAATATGTTTATTTTTATTAGTTCACTTTCATTATACAAGTTTTAGTTGCTTCTTATAGGACCACAGCATATGTAGTTATTCCTTTCTGGAAACATCAGAGCACAGGTCAAATCCAAGTCCACTGATGTTAGAAAAATGAGTCAGGAAGGAAGAAGCCCACCTATTTCCCTCTTGCCATGAATCTCAACGAACCATCTAGCTGTAGAATCACAGAAGCATAGAGGAGTGGGGCTGGAAGGGACCTCTGGAGGTCAGCTAGTCCAACCCCCTGCCTAAGTCAGGATCATCCCTGTCCAAACTGTCCGATACAAATCATTGTGCAGCTTATTAGCAAAACTACACAGTCAACCCTGGCATAACACAAAACATAACACCCGAACCTGCCACAGGTAAAGTGGGGGGATAATGACAGCCCGTGTCCTACTGCTGCAAGGCTTATTAAAATAGACTCAAGAGATCCAAGGCAGAGGGCCATACCACGCACTACAGAGGAAGGCAAAACCACCACAGTCCATAACAATCTGACCATAAGATAAAATTTCTTCTTGACCTCAAATATGGTGATCGGTCAGACCCTAAGTGGAGAGGCAAGCCCTTCTAGCTGGGAATTTCTAGGTTTCAGTCCCAGTAGGAGCACTGGCATAGCCCAGTCAATCCATGTGGAACTGATATTTACTGTGTGACTGCATGGTCTTGGACTCTCATTCTAACCAGCTCTGCTCTGCATAGGGACACGGGTGGCTGCAATAGCGAAGAGCCTGGAGAGCACACTGAACATGACAGCAAAGAAGCCAGCTGGTGGGGTGAAGCTCCTCCCAGCCCAGAGTACTGACTCTCCGAAAGCCAGTCACTTGGCCAAGAAGCTTCAGGTATTATGGGCAAAAGACATATTGCTGGAGAAATCCGTGCAGCAAGAGGGAAGGGTCTATCTTTTCCAAACCTGGCCTCTGGTATTCAGGAATGCAACAATTCAGTATGGAAATCACCATAGTCCCAAAATACTTACCAATAGAGATCATTTTATACCCAGTGTTTCAAAACCAACAAGGCATTGGTATGGGGAAGAGAACCATCAAGCATGTAGACTGGGGAGGATGAACATGTGCTCTGCTCTGAGCTGATGATTTTCAGTTAGACAGGCTCAGGGCTAGTTCAGACAAATCTGGGTTTCCACAGTTGAGGTATTTGGTTGAGCCTCCTGGCTGCAAAGCCAAAAGATCAAAATGTGTCTTTCCCTTCCCACCATGCCACCCTGCAGTCCAGCTCTACCATGTAAACACAGCACATGGGAAGTAAGTAACATGGTGTGTGGGAATGAAAATAGAGGACGTGTCCAAGATCAGGTGCATCTTTTTGGGTGGAAGAGGGGATGGAAAGACCTTTTCCAAGAAGAGAGGAGAATTTGTCCCAACCACTAGTAAGAGACATCCTCATCGCTTGAAAGAACTTGTACTTTACAGTAGTTGGCATAGGGACATGAAAAGGAAATATCACAGTTGAGTTTCTATCAGCCCCAAATGTTTAGAGGGCATAGAAAATTGGTCTTAGTGGCATTTTCAAAACTGTCCATACCTGTCTCAAAATTAAGTACAGAAGGCCTGATAGTTAGGTGGAATTATCTGATATAAATTCATAGTTCTACTGAGAGGGGCTGTAGTTGCCCTTAAAGTCGCCAAAGATATGCCCCTTTATCCACTTACAAAGTAACTCCTTTCTAATATTCATCCAGTCACAGCCCTTGAAAAAATGGAAATTCACATAGTAGTAATAGCAATAGTAGTAACACACAACTGTCAGTCCTTCTGGATCATGATGTATGTGTGAGAGGTCACCCAGACCTTCACATTGCAGAAAAAAAAACCCCATGAAATGCTCAGGAAGCAAATGAAAAAGTTGCCTCTGGAACATCACTAGAGATAACTGGAATGACACAATGGCAAAACTGTTCATCTACTACAATGGGACATATGCACACATAACCATGGTTTATATGGTAGCATCATTGGAGTCAAATTGCTTTTTAAATGACTTTTCCTAAGCAGTCCCACCAAGTGTACCAATGTGTACCAATTTGTAACACATGGATATAACTAAAAGTAGAATTATATCAAATAGTGATAAAACATGTGCATCTTAATGCAAGATGGCCACAAGATGGTGTCAAGGGACCAGTAATAAACAGTCCCAATCAAATGATTATTGGAGGTTTCTTACTGAAATGACAAAACAACCTGCAAACACTTCTCGTAAGCTGAGGGAATGAATCAAGTTCAAAATAAGGCAAAATCTTTCCCAGAAAAGGAGACAAGTATTGAGATTTGGAGATGAACCAACACAAGGCCCAGGCCATGGGTAAAGAGGGCTCCTGCTGAAAATCCAGCTGCAGTCCTGGGTTTTTAGTTCACTCTAGGAAAAGAAGCTGAAATAGGAAAAGTAGCCATTGGTTCTATTCCATTAGAAGTTAAACCACAAGTGAAGGTCAGTTTTGTACAGCAATGTAGGGAACAGAGACCAGAGAGCACAAGTGGTTGCTCAGAAATAGATTTCAGGAACAGTTGATGGAACTTAATCAACGTTCTCCCCGGTTGTTTTCAGTTTTGCCATTTAATTAGTACTTGATACTTTTGATGCATTTCCATCAGCTTTCTTTACTGCGTCTCCCAGACCTTTCAAGTCAAGACTGGGTGCCTGTATAAAAGAGACCCAATAGTGGCCAAATGCTTTGGGAAATATGACACCAGAGAGGCCCCCTACTTTCTCCGTAAGTGCTTCTCTGCTCTCTGCCTGATCTGCCACTCTACTTCCTACTCCCTCTCGCATCAGCTGTGTGCCAAACACAAGGGCTGCCCCTGCTGCTTGCATGGCCAATGTGTGTCAAACCCTTGCTGTAGCTCATGGCCAAGACATATGCCTTGTGTACAGGAGTGGACACCCACAGAACAGGAGTGAGTAAGAGCAATGTGCTGCACAAGGGCAAATCTGGGCACAGCACAGAAGCAATGTAGACGTGCCCCATAAATATTATTGCTGGGCAACAGCAAGCCCTGCCTTGAACTGGGAATTGGTGGGGAGCTGTGAAAGCAAACCAGTAAGCATGCCTTTTATAAATTAGATGCTGGTCAATAAGAAATGTTGAGCATTTTAAAAGTGCTTATAGGGGGGCAAAGAAGGAAAACATTACACTAACCTTACCCTGGCCCCAGCATCTCTACCTGGTACATTGTGAACAAGGACGGTGCATGGTCATACCCCGTTCCCTCACGCCTTCTTCTCCCTGTTCCCCGTGTAGTTTGTAGATGAGGACAGTGATTTGGAGATCTCCTCCTTTGAAGAAATCACTGAACATCTGGATGCCACGAGTCAGACAAACATACCACAGCAGCTGCCCCCTCAGGCTGCTGTGCGTCGCAGCATGGATTCAGCAGGATCCCAGGCCACCAGCGTCTGGAGCTCCAGCAGCATAAAGACTAGAGGCTGGTGATCCCCTTCTCTTGATGGGAGGTAGAAGGCAAAGTCTGCTGAGCCACGTTGTGGAGCTGACAAAGCAAAGCAACTGGTGGTAGAGCAAAATGCTGACATGGCTGGGGATGGTTTTAGTTGGTCTAATAAAATTACCACATCTAGCCAAAGAACTTTGTCTGGGAATGGTTAGAAAATTTTCTTTGAAAACAAGGAAGGGGAAATCACCACTGGAGGGCTCCATAACCCAACAAATGTGCAGGGGCGGCACTTAGCCTGGACTTGGAGGCTGCTGGAAGCTCCACGGGTGTCAGCAATAGTGGACACAGGGTTTAGATTGGATCAAGCAAGTACATTATCCAAAGCAAACTCTAGAGCTTAATGGAGTCCTGTCAAATAAGCACAGGGAGGCTGATTCAGCACCTTGTGCTGTTATTTGTATGGGAAGAGTAACTTTTATCCCATCCAAACACTAGCATTTTGCACCCTTGCTTTGGGCGTGTGTAAGATAAGAAGCAAAGTGAAGCCCCACAGAGAATCAGCCCAGTGGAGCCGTTAGCTGAAAAGCATGGGAAACTCATGCAAATCTGTGGGAATTGACATCCCAGACTCTGCCCAAAGATACGCAGCGAGGTTCCGCAGCATTTCGTAGAGCCTCCGCAGCTACACCACAAGGACACAGCTGGGAGTGGTTATAGTCGGTAGCAGTATGGCTTGCAGCTAGGCCTCATAGGGAGCACGGGGGGCAGGCACCTTCATTTGGGTCTCACTGTGAAGAGACCAGTCACCTCTGCAGTCCTTCCCCTTCCCAGAATGTAGGAGATCGCTTCAGACTGGACATAAGGAAAAACTTCTTTACAAGTCGAGTGCTGAGGGTCTAAAACAGGCTCACTCCAGAGGTGGTACAGTCACCCACCCTGGTGATCTTTAAAAAGCATCTTGATGTCCACCTTGCTGGGGTCATCTGACCCCAGCAGTCTTTCCTACCTAAGTGCAAGGGGGCTGGACCCGATGATCTTGTAATTCCCTTCCAGCCCCTAACATGTATGAATCTGTTCTCAAGCTATCTAGAAGAACAGAGACCCAGTGACACTACACAGTGTTCCCCTAGTGCTACCTGCTGCAATACAGCAGGACAGCTGAGCCTACCAACACCACAATCTGGACCACATGTTTAATATTTAGGGTCAGAATGAATGAATATTGTATACCAATATACAAGTAATAGACCATCCCATGCAAATGCTGTCTCCTCACTCACCCAGGGATATTCTCCACAGTAGTTTCCCAAAGTCATGATGTATTTCAGCAAATGCTAAAGTGTTAACTAGGTTCCACTATACATAATCCAGCTTCTTTGTTTGTTTTTTTTTAAAAATACTACAGCTGCCTTGTTTTGTTCTTCTAATTCAGAGCATTTTTTCCTGCAAACCTCCAGAGTCTGACCCTCCCAAGAAAATATTTACTACTCAGCATCTACACAAGACACTGACTGCGTAGTAGCATCACGTGGCACAAAGCATGACATGATACTACCGCACAGCATCACCAAAAAGCCATTCGGGGATGCTACTCTGCAGTAACTCCAATTACTGCACAGTCATTTAGTACTGGTGTATTCAAGTAGTAAATAACTGCACAGAAACAACTGCACAGTCAGTGTCTCATGTAGATGCGGCCCATGAGACCCAGTCATCAAAGCCGTTTTAATCAACTCTTCTAAACAGCTCTTTGGACTTTTTAAAAAGTTGATCATTCAGATTTTAGGAAAGACAGTTAAAAGCAAATTTCACTATATTTTCACTACATCTCATATTTGAGTCTATGTTATTTATTGTTCTATTTTATGGGAAAAAATCTTTGAATTTAAAATGTTACATATATGGCTCTTTATATCCATGGATGTATAGCAGATTCTCAATTTAGGAAAATGGAAATGTGATTTAAATCTAAAATAATATCACTGAGCTTTCATCAAAACTACATGCCTAGTGTGTGGCCAACTATCTCAAAACATGTAACGCGTGTGTGCACGCGCATGCGCACGTGCATTTTTTAACATGGCTGTATATTTCACACATCCCTTTAAAATCACACATTAATTAATGTCTCTCTTTTAATGAAGAATTGTAAATTATGTGTATTATTTATTATGCCAGCAGTACCATAGCTGTACAAGATACTTTACAGCTAATTTAACAGTCATTATCCTTATTGTTTGCTCATGATCACAATGATGTTAAATACTTTGTTCAATAAAACATGCTTGTTTCAGTGATTTTTTTCTTTTTTTATAGGCTCTTCCCTGCTGTAGGGCAGAGCTGGTATTAGGGGAAATGAACTGACAGGGTTTCACCTAACATGTGCTACAATAATATAACTAATTTCAGGTGCTAGATTGGACTTCACCTTACCAGCATGACATAGGAGAAAGCACGCACAGAAGGAAGAAAAATCCAGTTCCTGAGCAGTGACAAGGAGGTCTCAAGCTGCCACTCTTGCCACTCTGTTATAATTATTGATCCCTCATCTCTGTGGGCCAGAGCTGTACTGTCACCCAGCATGTCCACAGGTGGCAGATAGCAGACTAACCTTCAGGGAAATAAGCAGGCATAACTCTGATGAATAAGCAGTCACAGACCAAGCAGCACCACCACCACCAGGATATGTTGAGGACGGCAGATGGAAATGCATGCTCGCTCCTCAAAAGCCACATATATCCTTTGACAGTGTTGTGACATGGCGAGTACAGGTTGCCACTATAATAAGCCCGTCTGACCCCCAGCCATCGGTCCACAAGTTACAAGAGGTGGTCTAGCATTTGGACAAGACAGGAGTGCAATTTGTCAGCTGTAACTGTGACTGAGCAGCCTTCTTTGGGATCCACTCTGATCATCCCACATGAGAAGGGAATTAGGAAAGGTGCCCTAAACATAGCCTGTCTAATACAGTACTCTGTATTTCTTCCTGACTGGATAATCACATCCAGTGGGATCACCTTTACTGCTGTCAAAAACACCAGCAAAGATGCACCATCATTTTTGGGACCTGGAACGTCAGGGCCCTCATGGACAGCCCTAATAGTGAATGCCCAGAGTGCCATCCTGCAATTGTGGCCCAAGACCTCAGGTGACACAACATTAACTGCACTGACTGAGACCTAGCAAGTGGGAGATGCACAGCTCAAAGAACATGGAAGTGGCTATACCTTCTTCTCAATGGGTAACAGGAAGGAGAACACCAACTTCACAGAGTTAGTTTTGCCATTAAGAATGAACTCATAAACCAACTCGGTGAGTTCCCTATGGGAATCAATAAGCACCTCATGATTCTGTTTTGAACTGGTGGGGAGCCAATATGTCATCAGCACGTATGCCCCAACCCTTGATGCCACTGGTGAAACCAAGGAGGAATTCTGTGCCATCCTTGACCAACTCCTTTCTGATGTTCAGGAGGCAGACGGGCTGATTCTTCTTGGTGATTTCAATGCAAGAGTCAGAAAGGACACTAACCTCTGGAAAAGAACCATTGGCAAGGAAAAAGTAGGAAAGGCCAGCTCCAGTGGCATCCTCCTATGGGCGATTGGGGCAGGAGGGCACATGCCCCTCCAGTGACCAGTCACTGACCGGGGAGGGGGTGCCCCCCCACAGCCAATCTCGCCAACTGGCGAATTGCGCTGACCAGGAAGCAGCCACGGTTCTACATCTGGCACTCCCACTCCCTGGCTGGTGCTCGCAGGGGGGACACCAGTGCTCCTGCCTGCCCCCCACAACCCGTCACCTAAGCAGGGAGTGCAGCCTGTCAGGAAGTGCACCAGCACTCTCAGGGGGTGCACATGCACCCCCTACTCATCACCACAGCATCCTCCTCCTGACCAAATGCACAAAACATGGACTCATCACCACCAACACCCTGTTCCACCAGAAAAACAGGCACAGGAGGTCATGGCAACACCCACAATCTAAACATTGGCACCTAATTGACTATGTTATTGTCCACGCCCAAGATCACAAAGATGCTCTGCATCACCCAACCTATGCTAGAAGCTGATGATTGCTGGACCAATTACTGACTCATCTGCTCAGTTATATCACTCAAACTGACTTCCAAATGACAGCTGCAGCAGAAGCAATGCCAATGGAAGATCAACATTGAAAGGCTCAAGGACCCAAGCAAGTGAGGCCTCTTCCACCAGTGCAACAAAAAACTGTTCATGTCCAATCAACAACAATAGGAGAATGTCAGCAGCATGTGGGGTGCTCTCAAGGCCACCATCATCAGTGCCTGGGAAGAGACACTTGGATTCTCTACCAGGAAAGATCAAAACTGGTTTGATGAGAATGACCAGAAAACTCAAGACTTGACTGATCACAGGTGCAAGGCCTTATGTGTTTGGCAAAATGACACCAACTCCAAGCAAAAGAAATTGAATCTCCAACAAGCCAAGGCAGAGGGCCATAAAAGGACCTGTGATATGAAACAAATGGTGGGAAGACAAGGCTAAGAAGATTCAACATCTTGCTGACATCCATGATATGTGAAATTTCTTCAGTGCCACCAAAGCTATCTATGGTTAAAGCACTCAAGTACAATCCCCTTCACACCTAAGGATGGAGGACATCTGATCAAGGAAAGGGGAGCCATCAATGCCCATTGGAAGGAGCAACAATCAAGACTCTGTTGTTGATGAGGATGACTGGGTGTTGTGGGATGGAGTTGAAAACAGAGATGATCCCAGAATCCTCCAACCCTTGACAAGGTGAGGAAAGCCAAACAGATGAAGAACAACAAGGCATCTGGAGCAGATGGAATCCCCAATGAAATCTTCAAGCTGGGAGAAGAGCAGCTTAAAACACAGATTCATGCCCTCATCTTAAGGATCTTGAATTATGAAGACGTCTCAAATGACCTCATGATTGTGACAATCTTCAAGAAAGGACAGAAGTCTGATTGTGGAAACTACAGTGGGATCACTTTGCTGTCCACTACAGGAATGATCATTGTGAGAATCCTCCTGAACCGTCTTCTTCCACTTGCTGTAGAGCTCCTCCCAGAATCTCAGTGTGGGTTTAGGGCATCAAGAGGTACAACTGACATGATTTTCAGAGCTTACTACTTGCAGGAGAAATGTCAGGAACAACATAAGCCTCTCTACACTGCCTTTCTTGACCTCACAAAAACTTTCAACTCTGTCAACTGGCACTAAGCCATAAACGAGCAGCAACTGTTTGCCATAAACAAGTGGCACTAAGCCATAAACAAGCAGCAACTCCTACGATGGTGTCGACACGGAGTGCTGCGAGGGCCCCTGCCCAGGGGGCGCAGCCTACCCAGGGCTTGTCTGATGCCTCCACCCAGACGGAGCCCATGGGGGGACTGGTGTCCTCCCACCCCCTGGCCTGAGGGAGTTGCCCAGCAAGGCCTGGGGGAGCAGGGATTGGGGACCCCCACACCTGTCCTGTGGGCGCCCGCCTTAGGGCCCTGGAGGCGTAGGTGAGGGAGCTCCAGGAGGAGGTTAGCAGACTGAGGGGAATCAGGGAGGCGGAGGATGAAATTGACGGCTATTTCCTTTC